TTATTGGCTATTCGTTCTTTCTAAAATTCTAACAAAGTTTTAGATCTTTAATCTTAAAAACATAATATAAAAATTTAAAACACACATTATTACGTAAATATTTAAATAAATATATAAAGAAATGAATAAAACACCTTCAAATCTTTCCCCTGAAACCTTTTATGTTTATATTATGTTCTTAAATTTATATTAAAAAGCATTTTCCGCATTTTTATCCTAATATGCCATAACTTGTAGCGCATCATTCAACAATTCCGACACTTATGAGTATTTGCACGCCCTCAAGAGCCGTCAACCCCAACCTTAATCAGATGACAGATATCCATAGGAAAATTAAGTGAAAAAGTCTGGTTCTTAGACAACCCTGATATGAAGGAACTCCCCGAAAAAAAACGAAGCTATAATTTCTGACTAGACGTATCCACTAGAAGATCTGCTGAGGGAACAAATCGAGTGAGCAGAACATTTAATGAGCTTTGAAATTGTCTTTTTGGCGTACGAACTACGCCTAATTTAGTTCTGGAAACTGAAAAGCAAAGCAGAATCGAATTGAAATCGAAAATAGAGAAGAGAAGAAAGGTCTACAAATCAGAGGAAAGTTGTTCTATAATGCCAGTCATAAATTATGGGCAATTAATATGTAACACGTTAGATCCGAATTCGATTCAACAGCCTTTAATGGCAAAGTCCTTTTTGGCCATTTGTCAGCCTGGATGTGGCCATAAAAAAGCTACCGCTGCAGCACCCCCATTTAACCTACCCATCCCGCCCCACAAGAAACTCCTTCACTTTCGCTTTCCGTTGCTTCAGATAAATCACCATTAAAAAAAGAAACGCGTTTTCGCAGCGGCCAATCCGCCATCCAAACGGGGACATAAAATAAAATTAACTTAAAAAGCAAATTCTCACAGACATATTTTATCGTGGCGAATGTCCGATGTTTGGGCTTTGTTAGCTCATAACTCAATGGGCTAATCCTTTAAATAGGACATTCATGTTATCCTGCCTAGACCATGGCGCCCATTAAAATTAAATTTATATCTAAAAAAGCAACGCAAAAAGTCAACTGTCCACTCATATTGATATTTATGACATTTGCAATGCATTGTAATTCCTATTGGATTGTTATTAATGTTTATACGTGTGATATGATGGTTGTTGCCTAGGATTATTCAAGGACCTTTAATGGGATATGCTTTTCTGGAATGGAAGAGCCTTATATCTAGGTTAATTTTTAAGGAATTATGGAAAAGAATATGAAATGGTTAGGCATTTTAAAACTTTTTAGTAGTTTAAATCACTAAAATCTAGAATAACACTTTTCATATATATTTTAAAATTAATAATTATTAATAATAATAAGTTCTAAGAAAACACATATCATGGAGCTTGTATTGTTGTCCTTTATTCCATAAAAACACAAAAATATTATTTATTTATTTTTTAGTGTTTTTATTTCAAAATTGCTTCCCCTTCCCTTGCCAAATTCCTTACAATACCAATTCAATTTACAGTTCATTCGATTTCATAATTCCTGCCTTGTACACTGATCAAAGTATGTAGCAAGGACCTCCCACCCCTACACCTCACCACACCAGCCCCTTCCTCCCCCTCAAGGCAGCTGTTCAAAAATCCCACGCAGAAAAAATATTCTGAGGGTTGATTGGAAAGTTTTTCGGGCCCAGCCCAAATCTAATTGGACGCATTCGTTTCTCTTTTACGTTTGACATTTTGCCCTCTAAACAAAAAAAAAAAAGTTCTATTTAAATTGTTGAAATCCGCTTACGTTCCTCGCCAGGACTTCGGCCATTTTGTGTGTTGTCCAACACGTTTCGTATTCAGTCTCGAATTTCCTTTCCCATTTGAAAATCAAATTGATCGGTTTAAGTTCTAAACTAAGCTACTTAAATGTCCTCACATTTCTATAAATGTAAGATGAGCTTTAAGGTTCTGTTCTCCTTCTTGTTTCTTATTAGAATGGTTGTGTATCCTGTTTACTATTTCCCCCTCCACCAAAGGGAGACAAGAAAATCGATAATATGCAAATATTTTTTGCATCCCCCACACACATGCACGAGCGTAAAACAAATAGTAACGCGGCGAGTCCTAAGTCCTTTAGTTTGCCCTCCCACTTGCCCCACCCACCCAAACACACACTCACACACACACACGCAGACAAACTAAATAACTAAATACGCATTAGCATCCTGTCGGATTTTCCTTTATTATTGCGGCGGCCGTCGTCGAAACGAAAAGAAACGAGATGCGTGGGAGGCGAAGAGGCAGCGCACGTTGCACGCGCTCCTCCTGCGCGGACAGTGGGGCAAAATGGATTTGAATTCGGTATTTTTAACAAAAAGGGAGACAAAATATATACAATATAACTTTTATTAAGAGATTTCGGAAGTAGTTTTTTGTTTACATTATTTTTTGAATTCTTAGTAATTTCCAAATTTCGTCGATTCTGTCCCACTGTTAGGGAGCACACAAAAAAAATGCCAACAGTCCGAATGGCAACAAATTCAAACGAACATGTATGCAGAGTGTGACTGAAAGCATTATTAATAGAGAATGTCGGCGGCTAAACTCAACCAAACACACACACACACACATACTCACTCTGCCGGCACTCACACACACGCAAAAGGGATATAAAAGCAATAAGGACATTCATCTTCATAATTACGGGCAACGAAATGAAGAAGAAAGTTGGAGAAAGAGGAGAAGGATGTGGAATACGTAAGTGAAGAAATTCAAATGAAACGGCAAAGTTTTGCATATGCGATGGGGATGTGTGTGTGAGTGTTGTGCCAGGGAGTTGGAGAAGCTCTCCCTCTTTTCTGCGACTACACTGAAGAAAATAATGTGACTTTTAGGTTATTATATATATGAAAAGAAGTTTGTAAGTTCTTAAGTTGTTCTCAATTAGTTTTAATTCTTAAGTAAATATTGAATTTTTAAAATTAATAAAATTAAAGTAAAATATCTTAATTTGTAACTAATTTAAAATTTATAAAATACAACTTATAAAATCAAAACATAAAACCGGAGAGAGAATGCATTCTGAGGGGCAACAAAATATATAAATGGACAAACTATTTCGCTCAGTGCATGCTTGACCAAATGGGCGTCTTATGGAAATGACAGTTAAGCCCGCCGACGTTGGTCACCCTAATGAATCTCGAGCAGGCCGGCATTTTCCCTCCGTTCGAAATGCAATCAAATGGAAATTGTTAAAGAAAAGCAGAAATGCCCGAAAGGTTCGAACGGAACAGGACGAAAAGGACCGGAGGAAGGTGAGGTGGAAGAGCATGCCTGACTGGAGGCCAAGTCTGTGGACTTTGCCATTTAACAAGGGTGCAATGCAGCGGTCTGCACTAATTACGCACAAAACATGTCCAGCAAAAACCTTTTGAATGTCGGAAAAGCAACCAAAAAAAAAAGGGGGAGTTTTCCGTTTGGGGGAAAATGCTGGACCTTGAGGCCTCTGTTTGCCCAATGTTTTTTCCTGCCTGCTGCAATTTAAATGAGACGTTGTCCAAACGCAAGGGTGTCGCCTGCAATCGATGGGTGGATAGGAAAGTGGGCGGGGCATTTCAGAGGAATTAATTCTAATCCCGAACACGTTCCATCGCAGACGAAGTGTTCAGTGTGGGAGGTATGTACATTATATATACATATATAACATATAGTCTCAACTGGTGGAGGGTGCGTCGATCATTAGCGTGATTTCTTTCCGCTTTGACATCCAAGGAAAGCAGGAAAATTCGCCAAGAAACTCAGAACGCATCAATGAACTGTAAAGGAATAGGAAAAATATTACTTTGAAGGTGTTTTCCTAAAACGGGAAATATTCTTTACTAATTTGTTATTTCTTTAAATAAGACAACATAATTACTAATTAAAAGAATAAAAATAGTCAAATTTTTACTTAATGAATGTATTTTTTTAGGACATTGTTTCAAAGGTTTTAAACGGATTTCGAAAAATTATTTCTAAAGAAATACCGAAAAGTTACCTTTTATATTTATAATAAGCAACGTAAAATCGAAATTAAAACGAATTTTTGAAACAAAATTTCTAAAGCTTGGATTTGATATAAATAATGCAGTTTATATAATAAATTTAATATATTAATTAAAAAGTAAAACTTATTTTGGGCATTAACTACGTTTTTGCTTATGAAATAGCGACATCTAGCGGCAAAGCCCCTGCAGTAGTTAGACCACAAAGGCCGAAAGCGCTAGCATTTCCATGATTAAAATTGTAGAGGTATGGCAGCACTATAATTAGTGTTACCAGCCTATATAATGGTATATGTATTAACTAAAGATTTCTCCAACTTATACTTCCTAAGACTTTTACCCTTCAATAACAATAACAAAAATATTATAATAATAAGAAAATAACATTTACATAAATAATATTTATAATACTTTCAATTAAAACATACCATAGGATATTCAAAGATGTCCATAGCTGAACAGGTTAATAGCGCCGGCTTATTTATTTTAATCGACAGTCAATTGAAAGCCTATCAAGAACCTATCGCCATTCTTGAGTGATCGGGCTTGAAATTAATTTGATTTGAAACTATCGCATTAACAGTATTTTCCTAAAGCTACATTATAAAAGATAATCTACTGAAATATATATACTGCACAATCATAATATTTAATGAAATCAAAATAAAAATTAATTAATAATTAAATATTTTTGCAGTATTCCACATAATTTAAAGTTTGAAGAACACAATACTAGCTATTTCTCCATCTTTAAAATATTATTGGGATATCAAAAAAAAATTTTACAATTAATTTATTTTTTACGATCTTATAAGGCAAAACTTAATTTTTGAATTTTAACGCGCGTTAGTATTTAGGGATTTTATAGGTTATTTTTTGTTGGTTAAGAGCATTTGTATTTTTATTGTTTCGATTAATTATATCGTGCTAGTCCCTTAAATATGACTATCGATATGGTATCGGTATCGGTTCTCAGTTTTCGCTCGGATTTTTAAGCCGTTTCACCATCTGGTAACACTGCTCTATCGTTTTAACGTAAGGTCATTATTTTATATTATTTTTTAGCAGTTTTCCCCGAACTTGTAGTGTAGCGAAAAGCGCAAATCGCAGTAGGTGAAAATCGAAAGTATCGTGTGGTCTTATTGCTAAATTGTAAAACTCGCGGCGCCCTTGAAATCGTTGAGAAAAAAGCAAAAAGGCTGAGAGGCTAGCGCAAAATCGAAGAAAAAACTGTGTATGTGCGTGCGTGTGATTGTGTGAGTGTGACGTGTGCGTTCGCTGTGTGTGTGAGCGAGCTGGCATGCAGATGTATAGTTGTGTGTGTCGTTGTTGCTACGGCTATGTGTGCGTGTAAATTGAATAAGAAAACGGAGCACAAAAGGCACTGATGGAAAATTTATATGTGCGCTGAAAAATTAATTTATTTGCAAAAAGCCAAAGAGCTGCGAAAAGTTAAGTGACAAGCGGAGAGACGGGCAAAAAAAGCGAAAAAATTGTGGATTGCCGACTCTCTGCAGAATTAAAGAGAGTGTAAAAATCAGAGAGAGAGGGAGTTTGTGTATGTGTGGGTGTGAGCCGCCTCTGCCAGGAAAACTAAAAGAAAAAAGTCCCTGTCGTTAAAATGTGCAAAAAAAATTGTTAAATTCAATTGTTTGCTTTCCTCAGTTCGGCGTTTCAGTTTTTTTTTGCAAAAAACTTTTTTTGCCAATCTTTCATGCACGCTTTTTCGTTTATTTAATACCTCTCTGTCTCTCTCCCTCTATCTTGCTCTCGCTCTCTTGCTTTATCTCTCTAGCTCTCACGCTCTCTCTCTCCGGCTCTCTCGCTCTCCGTTTTTTGCTTATGCCAGCCAACTGTCAAAACTGTCATTTACCTTCCTTTTGTCCGATTAGCAAAACGCAACGAAAAACTAAAATCCCATCCAAATTTAAATCGTGGCCGTTCGCTTGTTTTTAGTTTATTATTTTATACCAAGACACGTAGTACTTTTAATTCGTTGGTCCTACGCGTAAGTGAAACGAAAAAAAAAAGCGGAGAAAGGAGAGGCATAAACGGACAAATCGCCGCCGCCGCACAGTGCAACAAATCGATCAGAAAACCAAAAAGAAGAAAAAATAGAAAAATCCAAGCAAAAGGAAACATGTTTTAAATGAAAGAAAAATCAGAGAAATTCAATGGAATATAAGTGGAAAAGTGTCGCGTAATTTTGTGTGTGCCTGCGCGTGTGTGTGCACCCATCCTTTTTGCTCTTCCTCTTTTACACTTTCGCTTTGTTGTTGTTCCTCCTGCAGTTTGCACTTTGTACCTTAGATTTTCCCATTTCCTCTTTCCCTTCTCATTTCTCCAAAACAGCTGGGCAAGCATTTGATTAACTCCAATTTTCTTTCTTTTTTTTACCGTATTGTTTTTTTGTGCCATTTGCTTTTGTTTATAATGTCAGCTGGTCCGGCATTGTTGTTTATTTTCGGTTCTGTTTCGCCTTGATTGTTTAGTCAAGTGTTAGTTTTGTTTTTGTGCCATTTTGCAATTTTCTGCTCATTTGCCATCCGATATTATGGGTTATTTTTTATGTGATTTTCACTAGAATTTATGAGTGGTGTTTCGGTTAACGGTAACTCATATTACACACAAGTGTTTAAGATTCTAAGTGTGTATTAAATAACGGTTGAATAGAATCTTTGGAAGTTTTTTTTGATATTGCTTTTCTGCCTGTTTGGTTTAATGGGTAAACAACATTGAAAGATCGCAAAACAAAATCATTATAAGAAACATTTTTTCATATTTCGTATTAGAACCGTTTTTTACCAACTCGATGGCAGTTAAATCTGATTAGCTTTGTTTGACCTTGAACCTATCCTACATACATCATCTTCAAGATCATAATGATCATCCCTTCATAACATCTCCAATTTCAAAGCGAAACAAAATAAACCTCAGGCCAGATCGGTTTTCTTGTCAAGCCGCGTGGCTAAAATTTTTGCTTACCCTGCACCATTTTTTAATTTGCCACTGGACTATAAGTTTGTGTTTAGAAATCGGATACGTTTTTGACTCCTTCCGACCACTATTTGGCACAGTCGTGATTGTTTTGATTATAATTTTTTAATCACAAGGATCGATTAAAGATTGAAAAATTCTCGTATGGATTTACGAAAAAAAATGCGTGTGCAGGCAGTCACGTCTACCAACGACAGATTCAATCTCTCAAAATGTTGAATTCCCTTTAGTAATGTAGGAATTTTCGGGGTTGTTATTCATTTGTTAGATTGTTAAAAAATAATGAAAAAATTCAGCTATTGGTCGTGTGGTTTGATTTATATAAATGAAACAAGCTTTAATCTACTCTTTAGCTTTTACTTTTAAATTATAAAACGAACTATTACTAAAGAAAGATTTTTATTTAGATTGAATAGGATCAGAAACCCTTTATCTAGAGTATAACTTTTGCTACTTTGAGGACAGGTTTTTACTATATCTCTTTTAGATATCTTTATTTTTGTTTGCCGTCCAACACAATTGAGAAATTTCATTCGATTTCAAATTGTATCTGAATATCTTATGGATGCAATGTCATTGTAATCTCTGACTTGTTGTTGCCTTTGCAGCCGCCTCTTCCTCATCTTCGTCTCCTTCCCTTCCGCTGCTCTTTTCTCGTTTGATAAACATTTTCATTGCCTTCTCTCGGCCTCTCTCTCACTCCCTCTTTTTCTTTCGGGTTCTTTTACTTCCTCCTACAACGCCTTCGTTTTTCTTTTCCTTTTCCCTTGCCATTTTTTTTTTTTGCATTGTGAATCATTTCCTTACGGAAAGGAAAAGAGGTGGGAAGTCCCTGTGGAAAGAGAAGGAAAAGAAAGTACTGATTGTAAAGTAATTTAAATTCAATATTCATACATCCTGTTTATTTACTTAAATTACTTATCAGGTTTAGTCATTAAAAGGTTTTATACTGTAGAGCGGCTGTTTTCTATTCTTGTAATTTTGTTGCTCATTACAAATTATTAATATGAATATCAATGTTTTCCTGGAAATATTCATTTATTAATAACATTCACTTTATTCAGTTGTTCATTTAAAATGCCTTTCGGATACAAAAAGTATTATGATTTAATAGCAAGAAAAGAACAATCGTTAAATTGTAAAGGACTTAAATATTTGTTCTGGATTTACTTTGATACACTGCAAACAATCGGGACACCTTTCTTGTTACTCTTCATCTTCTTCGGCTGCTGGTGCTGCGCTATCATCATCAATATTGATTACCGGCAGCTGTCCGCGAGAGAGAGAGACAGAGAGTGAGTGTAAGCGGTCAGCCGCTCTCCTTTTGCGGTTTGTTTGGTATGCGGCCCCTGCCCCGCCCCGCCCACTTGTAGGCGCCCACGTTGGATGGAAGAAGATGGAAAAGGAGGTGGCAAAGGGGGGCCAACAGGCTGCCTCTCTCGCTCTTTTGGAGCTCTTTCTCTCTATGATTGCAATTTTCTCAACGCGCATTCGCTCGCTCTCTCCTCATCGCTCTCTCTCTTTCTGTACTATCTGTTGTAGTTGCTTTTCATTACATTTGTTGTTGTTGGCTTTGCCATCGATTTTATGCTTTGTCGTTGCAATTAGTTCTTCTTCTGTTGCTTGTTTCTTGTCTGCACTTTTAGTTCTCATTTTCTTTAACCCCCTCTTCATCTTGTTTTTGTTGTTTTTCTATTGAGGAAGGCTGAGATAGAGCGTGAGAGAAAGGAAGACATGTAAGAAATTCTCCTTCCATCTTCCCTATTCGCCGATTTGTTTGTGTGCAAAATCTGGTGCCTACAGCGATACTTTGATTATCGACTGCCGGGGGTTAAAAGGGTTGTGGGTAAACCCAAGTTTATTGTCCAGAAGTTGAATTATTGGAGTGGTATTCCCTATCTAATAGTCCTGAATAGGTGGGGCATACTTAATCTGGGTGTGAACGCGATGGAATTGTTAGGGATTTAATCCGTTAATTGATTGGTTTTCTATTGGACAGAATGATCGGATTGGTAATCTCTTTCTTGTGGTTTGATGTTTGGCGGTTAAGGATTCAGTTGTCCAAATTTTTAGCATCATTTCCTTATATTATATTTTCCATTTACTACCATCTCGACCAGACGATCTTTTTTGACTTATTTTAGGTTAAGGAACTTAAGTTGTTTAATTTATTAACCTATTTAATCAAAATCGATCAATCGACATTTTAAAGTTGAATGAACCAGCACATTTTTTAATAGTCTTATTCCTTAATAGCTAGTTGTTCGACCTCACAATTTTCACTCCTTTACTCCCCCATAAGATCTCCAACGCTTGGGAAGAAGCTTTGGCAAACACCTGCGTGGCTCAAGAACAAGGCCAACAGACTCTTGAAGACCCAACAAACAACAAAAAAAAAACCCACCTTGACAGAGTGCTACGACCAATGTTGACCTATAACTGATTTTTTGTTGTTGTACGGTTGTTCTTCTGGTTTGCTGATTTTGTAGCTTGTCTTTGTTTTTTTTTTTTTTCAAACTAATTCCTCTTTTAGCCACGAAATAATCAGATTTTTTTGCATCGTTTATAACTCGATTAGGCAAAAGAAATAAAACAAAATTAAGCGAGTGAGAAAGAATAAAAGAGCACCGTCAAGGTCTTGACTTTGCCTTCTGGCAGGGCAGACGCAGAGTTCAAACGCAACTACAGTAATCACTAAAAAATCTGGATGTAAATTAGGAGAAATTGGAATCTGGAAATTGCTTACATTTAAAATTCAATTGACATATCAAAAACAACCTATTCTTATCTCTTAAATCTTTGGAAATATCTCTCTAGTGAAGATTCATTATTGAGTCTTCACTGTGCTAACAAATACTAGCACACTCTTTTCTAACCAGTCCACGCAATTTATGAATGATCGTCAAAGCTTACGGTTATTAACCAACACAAGTGCGGTGAAAAAAGAGAAAAAACGGCGCGTGTGCCCAAAAAAATGTTTGCAAAACTTTTTCGGCAACTTTTTTCGCGATTCGTTTTGTGGCTGCCTTTTTATCTCTTTCTCTTTGGTTTGCGCGCTCATTTCTGATTTCCGTAAACGAAATCGATTAAATAATGAGTGGGGCCGAAATAAAAAAAAATTCAATTCTAAAAGAAAATAAATATTTGAATATTCAATTGCAAATGCAAAAATAAATAAGGAGATCGTCGGAAAGAGAAATAAGAGGAAAAAAGTTATTAAAAGTAAACAATTTGTTTTTTTTATAGGTTCGGAAGGAAACCCCCTTCCCAAAAACCTTCTTCCTCTAATGTAGCACTTAACTAATTCAACAAAACTACGACGTACCCACCGCACAGACAACTCAATGAAATCAATAATAAAAAAAGGAGGCGAAACAAAAAATAATGAAAAGCACACAAAACCATCATCAACATCGTCATGATGATAATAAACGAACATGAACTACGCAGTTATGAAATTTAACTAGATACTTATAGAAAATCAAGCAGAAGGTTGTCTTTTACCTTCAGGCAAATAATATTCGGAATTTTTGATTGAGGCTTTGTTATATAGAACCTAAGCAAGGTTTTTTCTATTATTGTTAGATTATGTATAAGCCAACGATATCCGTTTAGATAGTATAGTATTTCCTAAACCTAGTAGAATAATTTGTTATTTATGGACTGCAGGGTAATGATAAATAAAATGTGTAATAAAAGCAACGCAATAGATTATTTTATATTATTGCAATCTGCACTACATTCAGCACCTTAAGTTCAACTTATACTTTGGCAAAAGAATGCAATAGATAACTCTGTATTGAGTGGCACATTAATAATGTTTGGTTATTATTTAAATGCATTTAATTACCCAAATGAACTCTTGACAAATGTTCTTACACTTTGGGGTTGTCTCGGCCTTCCCTTTTTTTATATTACGTATACGTCGCGTTGTTCGGTCCAATTATTTACCTTTCTTGTTTCTCCTCTTCCCTGTTGTTCTTCGATCTTTGTGGCCGGCGTCGTTTCGTGTGTGCATTTAATTTAATAAACAAATAATAGAAAATAATATTTATGTTTGCTCTTGATTGAATTTCTTATGACTTGTTTTCCTGCCAACCATTTTAATTGAAATTTATTCTAATTGTCTTTTCGTTTCTGCTCTGTTCTTCCACAGGAACTTCATTTCTACAATTTACTGCACTTTGCTAGTAAAACTTAACCGAAGAAATTGATTAACTCTACGATATAAAGTAAAATAACAGAAAACAAACCAAGAAATTAAGCGTGTGACGACAAAGTGGAAAAGTGCAACAGATCTATAAATGAATAAAAAATAGAAAATCAACGTGAAGTCTAAATCCTTAGTTAAACCAAGATCACCAAAATATTTTCATAATTTATAAGAAATATTTCCAGTGTGATAAATAACAGAAGTTCTAAAACAACGTAATAGTCATTTTCAAAAACGAATCATCAACTTGAAAAACCGAATCAAATCGAATTGATTCGATTAACAGCTGTGCTGTACACATGCACCTGTGTGTGTAGGGGGCGCGCGAGCGTGTGCTTCTACGTGAGTGTTTCGTGTGTGTACGAATTACTTTGTGTGTGCGTGTGTGTGTGTGTTAGTGGCGAAAATTGAAACGCCCGCTAAACAAAGTCAAGCGCTAGATGGCGCTCTCGCTGCCGCCTTTGACCAGTACCCTTGTTGTTGTTGTTGTTGATGCTGCAGCGAATAAAACGCGGAAAGGCAAATTATAACCGCCCACCAGCCCAGCCGCAACAAATAAATAAATTTCAATTTATTAACATAACAAAATCAACTCCCCAACACAAAATAATAACAATAAAAAAAGGAAAATAAGTAATAATCAAGAGTTTCGCATTACCCATCGTCGGTCGGTTCAAATTGCGTCGCGTCTCGTCGCGATCGTCGCTAGTCCTCGGATCGGATCGGAACGGAACATTGTAGTACGGACGGTTACGGATCAGATCGGATCAGTTGGCAGTCAGTCGGTGGCACCTGACAACGCAACGCTAACCGCTATTATGCATCGGCGTCGTCGGTTGGCCAGTGCAAACAGTGCAAAAATCTCATTCGAATTGGCGGGCAAGCAGCAGCTAAAACAACTGACAGAACTTCATTAACCCAGGCTATAATCAAGTATATATATATATATATAAATATAGACAGTTAGTAATACTAAATCGTAGTTTAATATCCAAAACTAATCGCAACGTAAACGTTGGTATAACTTTTTCCGTGGCCCAAATAATCCAAGAATCGTTAGCAATCCTGGATTATTTGCTAAAGACTTTGCGTACGCTGAAATCCAATTCGATTATGGCCGAGAATCAAAGTGCGGCCAGCGAAGATTCCGGTCACCAACAGCAACATCAGCAGCAGCAACAACAACACCAGCAACATCAGCAACCACTAGCCACCACATCATCAGTCACCGCCGCTTCATCCACAACGACTTTAGTTAATCAGTCGCCCACTAACTCGCAGGCCTCATCCCCGGAAAATTCCCAGGAAGCATTGCCCTTGGTGCGACGCCAGCAATCGTAGTAGCAGCAACAGTAGCAGCAGCAGCAGCCGCCACAGTTGCAGCAACCAGCAGCAATACATTGCAGCAGCAACGCAGCAGCATTAACAACATGTTTGATCGCACGGTAAATGCCAAGTTCAAGCCAACGGCCTCAAATGCCGGACCCGGCAACAATCCAGGACGCAGAAACTCCATGTTGACACCAGCCCGAGGCGTCAGTGTGGCTGGCACTGGCGGAAATATACGCAAGCTGACCAAGGTCAACTCGCTGACCAGCAATCATCACTTTGCTGTCTGCTATCCCCCCAGTAACATCTATCAGAATAGCAACAATGCCGGCAGCAATTCGGCTTTGCAGCGCACAACAAGCGAGAGTTTGCGTTTGAACTCGCTGAGCCGTGTGGGACCACCCACAGCCACATCAGTGTCCAGGGCCAGTAGTAACTCCAGTCTGGCCACATCAAACTCCACATCGCTGGCCCCCAAATCGAGCAGCAGCAGTGGTGGCAGCAACTCGACCCCGCAGCAACAACCGGTGGGCAGCAGCAACACTAGCAGCAGCAGCAGCAACAACAGCTTCACCAAGGCCAGTTCGCCCAACAACAATGGAGCACGTACGGTGAGTGGAGGAACTGCAACGGCTGCCACTGCAACAGGCAGTCATCACCAACAGCCACATCACCACCATCATCATCATCACCACCATCAGCATCACAACCATCACCAGCAGCAGCAGCAACAGACTAGCCTTAGCCAAGGACACGCTTCGTTGACCGTCGCCGGTGTGTCAGCTGCGGGCGGAGGTGGTGGTGGTGGAGGTTCCTCGGCGACCGCTGGTGGTGCCACCAATCGCAAACCAAAGACGACTTCCTCATTCGAGATCACCTCGGTGACGGTGGGCCATCCCAAAGCTAAATGCGGCCGGCGATACTGGAGACGAGTCGGCCGATGATCTGGACGAATCTCACACGGATGACAATAGTCGGATAACGGACCTGGAGAACGAAACGCCCTCGATGTCAGAGGATACTTTCTCAAAGGAGGAGGTATACTATGCCAACAATGCCCTCAGCACGAATGCGCCGGTGATACCGACTAGCTCGCAATACGGCCTCGTGGTGGTGGATCCCATTGGTCCTTCGTTGGGCCAGACGATCCAGAACGTTCAGGTGAACGTGTCGGATAACATAATCAATGTGGTGAGTGGTGCCGTCACACCTGGTGGCACTAAGAAGAAGGACGACAACAAGGAGACACAGCATCGCAGTGAGCGGTTCAAGGTGGTCAAAATTGAGTCCACGGAGCCGTTTAAGCGAGGACGCTGGATGTGCATGGATTACCTGGATCACTCGAGTGTGGGTAATGGTGGTAATAACAACGAAAAGACTGGCTCTTCTACTTCCGATGCGCACGCTGCCACGGCGGATGGTGCAGCAGGTGTGGTCGGTGGGTCAGAGGCCCTGCCTCACAAGACTACCCAGAGTATGATTCTGCCGCCCACCCAGAAGCTAAATGAGAATCACCTGGAGGCCAACTCGACCGATGCCAATTGGAACTATGCCGAGCAGCAGCAGCAACACCAACAACAGTCGCAGCAAGCGTCTCAGCAATCCCAGCAGCAATCCTCGCAGCAGCAGCAACAGCAGACTCAGATAAGTGCCACGCCCAGTGGGGTAATGACGGCCCCCGCAACAGTGGTTCACGGGATGCATCAACTACATATGGAGGCCCAGCAACAACAACAACAACTCTTCGACAGCGTCAATGCCAATGCCAGCTCACCCAATCCACCCGGTGACCCCAACAACATGGACTATGCTCGAACGGCGGCCATGCAACTGCAACAAACGCTGCAACAGCTCAAGCAGCGCGAAGACGCCATGGACGTGCCACCAGGTGGCTATCCAAATTACCAAAACGGCGGCGATGTTGCTGGTGGGGCGGCCAACAACAACAACAGCGGTGGTGGAGCTGGAGAGTCCCAGCTGAGCACCAGCTATGTGGAGCAACAGCAGCCATTGTCGCCGGCACCACTAACGCCCCAGGCCGCGCCCACATTCGCAGCTGTTGCTGCCGGGCAATCGCCCAACTTCCAATTGGAGCAACAGCAGCAGCAACAAGCAACATCGCAGATAGATGGAATAGTCTCACAGCCATTCAACCAACAACAACAACAACAGCAGCAGCAGACCCCACAGCAATCAACACCACAGCAAACAGCAGCAACTGCAACATCTGTAGTCGCTGCAGCACCACCACAACAGACTTCAAACACTTCCAATGCAGCGGTAACCACTGGCCAGGGTCAGACATTGCCGCTGTTATTACACATGAACAGCTACGATAAGCAGCCCAATCTTGGAGCAGCAGCAACTGGAGCCGCAGCAGCAACATCGGTGGCTGCCCCGCCAGCAATTCCCACGCTGCAATTGCAGAGTGCTCCTTCGACAATTGCCGATCCGCAGCAATTGATGGTGCCACAACTGCAGCAGCAGGAGGAGCAGCAGCAACAACAACAAACACAACAGCAACAGATTCCGACAGCAAATATCGCGAGTGCTAGTGCCAATAATAGTAATCTAAACCTAACGAATACGAATGTTGTGGCCACCGCCGAGGCAACAACAAACACGCTGACCTTGACCGATGAACAGGCGACCGCGGCAGCAAACACTGCAGCTGCCGTTGCAGTTGCAACCGGAGCTGCAGCAGCAACAGGAGTTACATCGTCATCAGCTACAACGCAGCAGCAAATTCAACAGCAACCAAATGCAGAATCCGAGACTGAAAGGTAAGTCAAGAGCTGAATATATATTTTATTTTATTGAATGATCTTAGATACATATATAGATAGAAAATGTAAGGAAATTAACGAAAAGATTTGGAAATTTTTTATATTTTAAATTTCTTTCTCTTACTTTTGAAACCAATCCCCTAAAAACTTCTTCCAATTTTCTTTAAGTCGAATCAAAAGTATTTAGTTCAATGGGTTAATGTATTTGGCTACTATCTTATCGACTTTTCCATTTTCCTCTTCAAATTCATTCACAAAAAACTTGTGACTTTGGTTTTCCACATTTACGACTTGGCATTTGGTTGTCTTATCTCGAATAGTATTGGCCTGATCAAATATTTACACGATTATACACAAAACGCTGCCGCTCTGTCTGCTTTTGTACTGTTGGTGGGACTTAATCAATTAATTCGGAAGACCGAAAGGTACCGAAAGTTATTTATGGACAGAGTCGAGGTTTGCCTTTGGTTTGCATTCGACTATATTTAGAACGCATAAAACGTTGTTTGAACAAGTTTTTGAGAATGCCCGATGGCCTGACAGCGCGCCTTCCCCCTTTGTCCCCTTTCTGAATATTATCGTCTAGGGCTAGTTTCAGGTTCATTTCGAGTCGCTAAAGTGCCAACACGCGCCGCCTTCTCTTTCTCATTGTGTTACGCCGTCTCTTTCGGTCACAAGAAATAATTTCGCCACTCAAATAATTTGTTGTTGGCTCTTTTTTATAGTTTTTTTTTTTTATTTAGTTTTGTTTGTTTGCAAATTTGCTGCGTCCATTTGCTGGAATTGCTTGCTTAGGCGGGAAGCGTAAAAAGAGAAAGAGATAGTTGGTAAAGGAGGAAAAAAGAGAAAGACCTCTAATAGAGGGTAAACCTCATTATAATAATTTATTTAATAAAAATTCATCAATGAAATTAGCCATGGAATGTTTGCACAGAAAGCGAGTGGTGTATAAATTTTTGGGTAACTAAATGGGGGGAGGAGCAGTTCAGTGTGTATTTTGTGGGGGCGGTGGCTCTACAACCACAACAGCAAAAACACGAACGTGACACAAAAGGTCGCTTTAATTAAGTTCGTTTTAAAGCGTACAACAGTTTACTCAATTGCCATACACTGCAAAAATACTTGACAAGAAATTGTAGAAAATTGCAGTTATTATGGCTAAATTGACAAAATAAATTCGGATTTATTGGTTAAATTATAGTTGAACGTTTTCAATTTAAGCTTACCTTTAAGCTATGGACAATGTTTAATGATTTCATAAAATATCCTAATATTTCAGATAATTTGAATACAACGAAATCAAAATATAAAACATTATTAATTGGTTTTTTGTATTCATTGCTGTGTTAAGTTTTAAACAATACATTGCAAATTGCAATCATCCAAAACTATTGTTTTGTTTCATCACATTTTTAGAGTGTTTCAAAACTAACTCATTGACCAACTGTTTTTCGTGTTAAGACGTGGTGACATTTTTGTTGTCACTGGTGCCGCCATCAGGCTTGATGACTAATTTGTTTGCCATAGAAAAAGTTTATTGGATGACTCAGTTTTTCGGTGGTTTTTGCATTCTGCTGCTGCTAAACTGATTAACTAGTAAAATGCATACAAAAAACGGGGGATCTTTTTCAGTAGTTTAAACATTGAGCAAATGCCAAGAGATTAAAAAGAGAGAAGAACCAAAGTCAAGGCAAATGAAACATGTGTAGTAGGTACATATTCAGCAGATATACAGATACAGCAGATACGAAAGATATCTGTATATTATATATTCTTGGCAGATTGCGCATTTGCGTGTGACGACGAGGAACAAGTCAAGTGTCTGCAACTGCCCCCTCAGAAGACCCCTTCTGCCATCCCGCCCATTTTAGTCACTCCCCATATATTTCAGAACGATCGTTCTTTTCGTTTTTTTTTTTACCCAATGAAATGCAACTGGAAAATGTAAAAAAAAAGGGGCAGACTGTGGCAGCAAAAGGCAAATTACAATGAATTATGTGGCTTGGGTATTAAAAATAGCCGGCACCCAGGGCCCGTGGGCTGCAGAAAGGGGGTTGGTCGGGGAGCACTGACAATGCGTCGTATGAGTAATGCCTCCACATATGTAAAGTTGGAAGTGGTTTGTTCGTGTTTGCGATTGTCGGCTTAGCAACAACTTGAAGACCAAAACGGCCTGCACTTGACAACCTCCCTCTCCCTCTGCAAACTCCCCTCTCAATCTTCATTTCACATTTCATTTTCTCCAACTCGTCTTCTTCAGCCAGACAATTTGTCCATGTTTTCTTTATTAGAGCAACTGATTGATGCACTGGCTCCAAGGGCGTCGCTCACCCATGGTTTTCTACATTTTCCCCCACCACCCCTTGAGGTCCACTTACGTCACTTACATGGGACAAGTGGCTATAAAGGAAAAGGAGTGAGGGAAACCAGTTTCTAGCCCTGTCAATTGAAAAGGAAAGTCTTTACTGAATGACACTCAATGTGGTCTGTTGTAACAATTGCAATTGTGTATCACTGTATCTTATATAAAAGAAGATTTTGTTGGATTAAAATTGAATAATAAATAAGTTTGAACTGGTTAAGGGGGCTCAAAATTAATTGAAAGATATTGAAGAACTTTTTTAAAGCTTTGCTTTTATGAATTTATATAAATAAGAATTCGATTTTAGATACTTTTAGTTACCTAATATTTGATCTTCTTTTAAATTGTATACATCCACGGATTAATCATCGTTATTCTTCTGAAATCAGCAAATGTTTATTGCTAGAATATAAATCGCTGCTTGCGTCTGACAAGCATCTGGAATATAAATTCCCTTCCGTTGAAATTTGCAATTTTTGAATAGCTTTAATGACAAAAATAAATTCCATTAACTTCTTATGCCCGAGTTGGCATGGCTGGCCCCATGGTCAAATGTTGTCATCGTCCAAGAGCTGAGCTCATAACTTGTGCTCAACGCACACACTGGAAACTAATTTGCCTTTGTCCAGTCAAAGCTGCCAATTAGTCGGGCAGAAGTAATCAAAATGTCTCTATAAAGTGGAAGACTTTATGCAGAATTGTTGGCAGAATTTCTTTCATTACTAAAACCCTTGGTTACAGTGAATCGTTTAATAAAGGAACTTTGCATAATTACTATATTAGAAATGCCTAGATTGTGCATTAAATGAGTGAACGCCGTGAATCATATTTAATAAGAAAAAGTTATACACTTTTTCTCAGCTTTGGCTGAGTCTCTTCCTGACTTTCTTTTGCTATCATTCAAATTAAACAATGTTTCACTCATCCGCCACACTCTTCTCCACAGAAGTCTGTAGATTTTAAGTGATTGTGTGCAGGCAATTGACAGATTTACTGCAATTGGTTTTGGTTTGCCGCGGAGGCAACGACCCGATCGTTATTCTCGGAGCCAGGAGAAATGCGTCACCCAAAACGAAGAAGCACCGATAAGAAGGAGACACCTTTACCTTTCCCTCAATCCCAAATCCCCTTGCGGAAATATGAAACTATATGGGTATATCAGTGGATGTGATTACCTCATGCGTTGCTAAAATCGCGACCAAGGCAGGGCCTCGTATATATCTGTTTGAATATGTATATATATCGAAATGTTAACTTGACGCGTGCCTGGCATTGACCGACTTAGAATAATTGAAAGAGCCCCGAAACAGGAGCTGGGAAATGGGGAGGTTAGGCCTGCTCTTGGATACCAATGACCTCGGCAAATGAACTTCCGTAATGGGAGGAACGAACCGAAGGGAGAGGCGCCAAGAAATGCTTTGTCAATTACTCACTCTTCTTCGATCGAAGTTGATTCATATATATATATATATATATATATTTGTATATACATCAAGCGGAATCAACAATAATAAAGTATGAATAAAGAAGTAGCCAAACAAATAGAGGAAGGAGAATCAAATTGAGCATTCAACAGAGTTCTTTAATGTCATTATTCTTTTGTTTTGCCATTTTTTGTTATTGGTTTTGTGTACTTGAACGGTGGCGCTGAAATCTATGTCAAAGTCATAGTGAAAGGTATACCTGTCTGGGTTTGTCAGATTTCCCAAAAGAAAAGTCAGAAAGAAATTAGCGAACACCTGCTCGAGCTTTTTTGCTGCTCATATTTCCTTTTGCCATGATGTGCGATTTTGTTTTTAAATATTTTAACATAAATTAAATATTTCGAATTGAAAGTTTTTGTTAAGGCAGTTCAATGTAATTCACTAGACCTAAATTTCGTAGCTTGATAATTTGCTTAATAATTTCCTAAAATCTCATTTATTATTGGTTTATACTAAAAACCATTAATCATCTCCCAAACTCAAAATAATTTTCATCCCTGTGATTCCAGTTTTTTGCAGAAAATTTCTTGCGGAGATACGAAAATATTGAAAATACTTGTATTTATTTTTTGCCACAAGGTCAAAAACATTCCCGTCTCACATGTGCCAAAATATATATCATTTCTTTTGCTACTTTGCCTTGGCTAAAACTGCCGCCTGTTTGGTTTTTCGTTGCCCCTGTCGGCTTTTGACGCATCTGACCTACTAAGGAGGCAACTTTCTGTGCCATTATTTTACGCTCAAGAACATCTTGAGGTGGTTTGTTACTTCCGTTTTTGGGATTCTGCCTTATCGGGTGACGGCCAACCAACAAAATTTGCCCTAGTCTATCATTTGTTTATCTAAATTAAAGAGGAACTGGTCTAAACCGAAATTAACTTCACTTGCCAAGATAAAAGATTGAACAAATGTATCTGCAAGTCCGGTATAGCAACAAACCACCAGTTTAGATTACCAAAAAAAAGAGCTTAGAAGGCTTTATTTATTATTGTTATAAAAAATATGTTAAAATCTTTAGGACAAAAATGTGTTTCAAGTTGTACAGTTAGCAACGTTTTTGGTCAAACACGAAACGATTCTAATCTTCAGATAATGAAAACCTTTATTTATCAGCAACAGTTGTTGCCATTCTTCGTGCTAAAGATAATTTA